GAGGTCTGGGGTTTCATCTCTTCATTACTCTAATGCGGGTCAAACTCCAAGTGTGTAGGTTGACAGACTCCAAGCATGTAGATTGAACATCACTGTTGTCAATAGCACTGATGAGAATGTCCAACACCTCCTTCCCACCTGCCTCTCCTCCCATGCTTGTTCCTGGTGGCACAACTACTGTGCAGCCAGTTGGTGGGTGAGATGGGATAATTAATCTGGGTTAAATATATATTTTGCCAGGTTATTTTTAATCAAGATCAATTCTGCGATTCAGTTTACTGCATGGCCTCACAGGCTATTGTACTGGCAGAACTGAAGGGCTGGCATAGGGATGAGAGGATAAATAGTGAGAAGCATGGTGGGGTCAACTTAAATTGGTGGTTTTGCTGGAAAACACTACTGGTTGTCAAACTACTGCCACATATCTAAGGCAGAGCACGTCCTCTGCAGGGCTAAGCACACGATGTGCTGCCTGTTTGTTGCCTGTCCCTATACAAGCACATTCTTGAGTATTGCTTTCAGGAAAAGCTCTTTGGGATGATGTCCTTAATCACAGAATCACAGAATGGCAAGGGTTGGAAGGGACCTCGGCAGATCATCTAGTCCTACCCTCCTGCTAAAGCAGGTTCACCTAGAGTGGGTTGCACAGGACTTTGTCCAGGTGGGCTTTGAATATCTCCAGAGAAGGAGACTCCACAACCCCCTGGGCAGCCTGTTCCAGGGCTCTGTCACCCTCAAAGTAAAGTTGTTCTTTCTCATGTTCAACTGAAACCTCTTATGTCTCAGTTTGTGCACATTGCCCCTTGTCCTGTCACTGGGCACCACTGAGAAGAGTCTGGCTCTGTCCTCGTGACATCCACCCTTAAGAGATTTGTATGTGTTGATGAGGTCCCCTCTCAGTCCTCTCTTCATCAGGCTGAACAAGCCCAACTCTCTCAGCCTTTCCTCATAGGGGAGATGCTCCAGTCCCCTTATCATCCTTGTCGCTCTCCTCTGAACTCTTTCTAGGAGTTCCTCATCTTTCTTGAACCAGGGAGCCCAGAACTGGTAAGAAATGCCCCATTTCAGAATAATGTGATAAAGGATTGAAATGCTGAGTAGTTAATAACTGTAGAACCTTCCTGACCCCAGGATTCATCCCTGTTAGACATACAGCTGAGGTCTGCCTCCAATAACTCTCCCAAAATTACATGTTAGAAGGGGAGCTATTGTACGGGTAGAAGTATTGGAGGAGGTAGGCTGGACCAATGGAAACTGAAGCAAGCTGCCCAGAATGGGAGTGCTGGCTCACAGGGCATCCCAGCAGAGCCCAACCCTTGCAGAAGAACTGAAGCCGGCTTGTGCGGTCACCTGGAGCACGCAGGTTGGTGGGGATATTGTGTCTCGCACCACACATCTGCCACAGCTGCCAGAGTACAGTGGGACCTTGTTTCAGCACAGCCATATTAGTAACGTGTCTGGAAAATAATTTTTGGCAAGGGTCAACTTAAACAGCTTTATTCTGCCTCGGAGTTGGCTCTCAAACAGCTTTAAAACACAGAATGGGTTGCAGCAGTCTTGAAGCACCAGAGATGCTCATAGTTGAGGCTACATTTCCGGCAAGGAAAGCCCTTGGAGCTCTGGGTCACCTGCCGAAAGATCATCACCCAGCAGGAACTGGGAATCCCACCAGCAAACTGGTAGCAGATTTTGAGCCCTGTTTCAAATCTTTAAAATCCTCCCATTATCCCCAGACCACCATGACTATGTGTTTTCTTTCCCCATTTTAAGAGATTTCATTTTAATGCTGGCTATGGGAGGAAAGGGGGAGCTCTGTGACACGGCGGCTGTGGTGGCAGCAGCTCTGTGAGGAGCAGACTCATGGAAATAACGTGGTGAGAAATTAATCTGATGCCCGTGTAAAACGACCCAAATTTGAAATAACACTGACACCCTGTGGAGATGTGTGGAGGGACAGTCTGCAGGCCTTGCTCATCCTTGTTCCTGATACTATAGGTCAGTAATTAGATTCCTTCATGTCCTCTTTTAGAGAAAACTTTAATTTTTCCAGTGAAAAGTTTAATCTTTTTCTAAGTCCAGTTAAAAAATAAAAATCCTTTGTATATTTTCTATTAGAAATAATTATTTCTTTTTTTTTTTTTCAGTCTTGCAGCTGAACCTGCAAAAGCTGATTTGCTGGAAAGAGGATAATGAGGAATATTCTACAAGGTCTGAAGAAATGTACCTGTAATGGGTTGGGTTTCCCAAAGAACTTTCTTCTGCACAGCTGGGACCATTGGAGGGAGCCGCTCCATGCCGAGGTGAAGTCGGGACACTAATAATTTCCCTTCCAGTCTGGACTGTTGTTGAAAAACACAAGAGCAAGGTTTGTCTGGTTGTAAATGCACATTTTGAATATGCAGAGCAACAACTTCGTGTTTCGCTTGTTCTTGCTGCAAGTCACTTTGCTGGCTGACTGGCTCTTAGGAGTGTTGTCTTGAGATGCCTTACTGGGTTTGTGTTCTGTATTTTTATATGTTTCTGGGCAGAGAGTATCCCAATTAAAAAGGGATAAGTTTCCCTTTTTGCTCCAGTCGAGCACAGGATCCCCATTCACATGCAGGGTTAAAGATGAGAAATAGGAGGATGGTTATCGAGGAGGCTCCTGGTGATGTCAGGGCAGCCAGGCATTGCATGGGAGGTGATGGCAGTCTGAGGGCGCTCCCATTTCTCATACACTGTCCAAAACACAGTGAACCTGAGCACTGGAAATGCACTGTTCGCCTTGAGAATTGCCTGGTCTAATTAATTCCCTCCAAGGATGATAATGTGCTTATTTCTCTCATGCTTGCCTTGTCTGCAAAAGGGAAAACCGAGCCAGACAGGGCTGCGCGGGGACAGAATATGCAGTCGAAATGAGTCATCGTATAAACTCAATGGTTGCTAGAGCTGTTTGGAAGAAGTCGATCTTTGGTTTTGTGGGTAAGCGAGGTTGTACACAGTGTTACACTGTGTTCAGAAGTCATTTTCCCACTGAAGGAATTATGTTGGTTGTTCAGCCTTAGTGCTAGACCCTCGCTCATCTTTGGAGACACCTTCCATCCTAGAGGATGTTCAAGCTCTAGTGTGCTGAGGGCTTTGAAGGTACCATCTCACTTCTCACAATAATGCATATTTCAGGACTGTGGCCAAACTGCAATACTTTTGATGTAACTAACTAGCCATGTCAACCCTCCCTTGAGCTCCCTACTTTCATCTCTGCTGAGATCAATATTAAATATGCTATGCAAGCTGCTGCATGGGGGAGCAGTAAGCTGGCCGAGCGGTCGCTTTGTTTTCAGGTGGGAGCCCTATCTCAGCAATCAGGGAGGGGATTTCTGCACAGACCCAGCATGTCTGTTTGCAAAAAGCTTTGAGATGAAAAGTATTTATAGGCACTTAAAAAAATCTTTACGGATGGATCCAGCTTCCAAGAATGGAAACACTCATGGAAATAGGATTAAGAACTCACCACGTGAATAGCTTAGCCCTGAAATGGCTGGGCTTGCTCAGCACCCCCCAAGCCCCTCCTGGTTGTGCTCCAG